TATACAAATGTGGCAGAACACAGCCAAATGAAATGTAACTGCAAAGTGAAGTGTTTGATCCATAAAAGTGTCAATCACTTTTTCATTGGTTATATTTAACATTTTAATTACCAGAAAGAGAAATGATGTTTTTTTCAACTGTGTTCCCCTAACTGAATCTGTCTGTAATTTGTTCTTATTTTTAGCCAAATTAATATAAAACAATGTAGATTTTAATTATATTCTATTTAAATGACAATCACAGGTAATTTGTAACTGGAACAAATAGCTTGCTAGGTGAGGTCTAAAAAGAGAAAAGAAAAAAAAAACACTGCTGAGTCTGTGCACATCCTAGTGCTAATGGCGTTGTTCATAATCTGCTGCTCCAGCTGCAATGGCTCTGCACAGTGAGGCTGCAGGAGCTGGCCCATCGGGGATTTGTCAAAGGCCTGTTATTACATCTCTAGTCACATAAAATATGGCTGCCTCTCCAGAGATCCAAATGCCAGATAAATCCTCTCTCCTCCAACCAGGCTGGCCCTGGCGATGAAACCATCCAATGGTTGGCTCCTCAGCAGCTGACCTCTGGTAATGACTTGTGATTTATACAGTACAAGTTTAAAGGACACACACGCATCTGAGCCGGACTTTTTCTCCCCCGGTTCCCTCTGCTGAATCCATATCTGGTGTCACCCGAGTTAACTGGCAGGCCTTTAGGAGAAGTGGAGATATGACACCTATCTGTGGCGTGTCACCAAATGGCTCGGAAGGGGACAGTTTCCCCTGCAGCTGGTCTAATCGCGTTCAGGGTCTGCAGTGAGAGCTGTGCCTCTCCCTGACTCTGACACACACACAAATACTGCATACTGCATGGTCGCAGGCCGCAGTGACAGGGGCTCTAATCAACACCTGCTTGGGAAGAAACACACATGCTCAAGTCTGGAGGTGAACAAGGAGTAAACTGCAAAAACGACCTAGAAATAAGTCAAATTTTCTTCAATCATGTGTATTCAGCCTCAATTTGAGTTTTTAAATAAGATTATTTGCCAATGGAATGAGTCTTATGCACTTGAAAAAAGACAATACAATTGGTTTCTCTTATTTTAAATGTAAATCATCTTGTTCCATTGGCAAAGTGTCTCACTTACCTCCTTAATTCAAGAAAAAATTACTTATGTTAAGAAAAAATGGCTTAGTGAGATTTTTCTTTCTTTTTTTTTTTTTTGCAGTGTACCGCTTCAAAAATTTTGAAATTGGCACAAAAAAAAAAAATTCAGGTTCCTGACCTTTTAAACTCCAACTAAACTCTAGAACTATAGGGTCCAGGGCAGCAAAAATATCTAACCACAAAGCATCTTTCAAAATTTAGTAATAAAATTGACATGAGCCATTAAAGGAGGATATTTTGATCTTGCAATGAAAGACAGAGAAATGATCCCACAAGACAACAAAAATATGCCTTTAATAAGCATTACTCCACATCAAGGTGCTCTTCAGCCTGAGCTGGCGGGAGGGGGGCATAAAAGTTTATATATATATATATATATATATATATATATATATATATA